GGACTATCGGGAGCAGAAGAACGTCGCTTTAGTTACGCGGGAACTCTTTTACGGCTTCGCCGGGATTTATACGAGCTGTAAGTGACAGTAGCACCGAATGCTTTGCTATATATATATATATATATATATGTGTGTGTGCAAGAGGAAAAGAGTGAGAAGGAAACGAATGAGACACTATATACCAAGAGAGAGATAGTGGGCCACTCTCTCCCGAAAGACCCTCACTGAGGGAAGATAAATAAAAGATTCGAAAATAAGGAGAAAGAAAAAGAGAGAGAGAAAGAGAGTTAAAGATAAAGTAAGAAAGAAAGAGTCAGAGAGAGAGAGAGTAGAGAGAAGAAGCTAAGGGAAGAAAAGACGAACACAGGATAAGAAACTCCTTCTGCAATACCAGATCAGACTTTTGCAACCATCAGAAATTCTATTATCCTCTTAAGTTTTAAATATATACAGCTGCTGAGAGAACCGTATCTACAAAATACTCGCTCAAGAGATATATTTCTTTTTCTCCTATTCTTTAATTCCAATGTTTTTTTTTTTTTTTTTTTTCTATAAAAATGAAACTTTTGACAACAAAATGAAATATCAAATTTTAAAGCAAATGGATTTTGAGAAATGACATTTTCACCTGCTGTAAGACGTGTGCGTCCTATATATCTATATATATATATATAAGTGAGGAGAAAATTATATGGTTTGTGGGATTGGCCATGGGATATCTTGTTCCCTGGGGTTTTGTGAGACCCCGTTCTGAACGTCAAGGGTTCACGGCGTTGAAACGGGCTGACACATCTCGGACCCCCTCCCCACCCCCTAGAGTGTCATATCCCTCTCGCTTGAATCATCGCACACACCCGCGCCCAACCCCTCATCATCCAAGAAAACCACACACTACAACTCTCTGGTGATTTCGACACAAGTTACTTACATATATATATACACAATATGTTCCGTTTTTCATTTAGATAACGTTTTGTTGTCCGTTTTTTAAAATTTTTTTCTTCATAATATAAGAGAAAATGTCACATTAACCTTCCAATGGGTCATTTGGACCTTCTGAAACGAAAACGCCCTCTTTTTTTTGAGTGTATTTAAAAAAAACTCTTAAAACTCTCAGTGACAGTTTCTCTATCAGAAATTCACTATCGGCACAGTACTGGCGCCAGTAGTGAATTCTACCAATTTCTGGTAGAGATATTGTAACTGAGATCTTAGAAACAAAATTTTACAATTATGTGACGCTTCACGAGAATATAGACCGTATATGGTAAAAAAATTTTAGGTTATGTTAAGAATAGTTTGACCATAAAAAGGTTTCTACACGGAAACACTTTGTGCAAGAATCATTCCTAAATTTGTTCAGGAACTGAGAATATGAGAATAATTTAAAAAATCTTATTTATATTTTCTTTGAAAAATTTTATGCAGTATTTCTATATAAGAATTGTAGAGAAATTCAAGATAACTTCCTAAACTCACTACAGAAAGTTTTGAATTTGTTTTAGAATAAATTTTTACGTTTGCGAGAAAAAAATTTACTCTGGGAGGACTCGATCCCGCACGTCCTCGAGAGTCCAAAAACTCTGCTTTACATCTCTCAGCTACCTTAGCAGCTTATGCATTGGAAACATATTTGACGCTTTCTGTAAATTTTGCAGAATTTTCTCGCGTCCTCAGTTCCTGAACAAATTCAGGAATGATTCTTGAACAAAGTTTTTCCGTGTAATTACTCACTTTTTGCTTCTGCATAAGTAAAATTTTACTAATTCTTAGTAACTTTTACTAACAATTAGTAAAACTTTACTAATAATAACTTTACTAAAAATAAATAAATAAATAAATTTAGAAGCAAAAAGTGAGTCACTAATTCAAATTAGTAAATAGTTTTACTAATTCAGATTTAGAGAGTAAATCTGAATTAGTAAAAATTTAACTAATTCTACAGCAAAAAGTAAGTCACTAATTTAAATTAGTAAACATTTTTACTAATTTAAATTTAAAAAGTAATTAGTACAAAAAAAATAGTTTCCATTAAATTTTTCGAAAGCAATAAAAACTTAAAAATAAATAAATAATATAACTAAACATAATAACCTAAAATTCTTTTACCGCATAAAATCCTTTTTCTCGTATGAAACGTTATAGCAAAATAATTCCGGAAATTGGCCCTCAGGTGTCCGAAACAAATTCGAAAAGCCGCCTCTTGTGGTGGCTTATATATATATATAAAATAATAATAATAATAATAATAATAGTAAAGTGAACGAAATCTTGAGTGGGATGCAGCTTGCTTTTAAAAAAAGAAAAAAAAATCATATTTGTGGCTTTTGTGGCTTGACATTTGTCATAGAATATATATATATATACGACAAAACAGACGGACACTTGACGTCAAGTAAAGAGAGCAAATGTCATTTAACTGTCGACGCACAAAAATCTTTATTGTCGTTTGTCCTTTTTCATCAAAAACGTGACTATATGGTCCCTCTTCATTGTGAATGTAGGATTTGTCACGGAGGTCGAGCGCGCCAATACGTACTTGACGACGACGACGACATCTCAATTTCCTTATAGGGGTACTTCTACCGTAAAAATTTCAGCTCTATATATATATGACTTACCGCTTCCGGTTCATGGGATCTATTATATATTCTCTCGAGATGAAATTACTTATTATTTAGTAATGCTTCATTTCACAAATGCGTCTAATTATTTAAATTCCTATATATATATCTGCCTGTCAATCAAAAAATAATTTATTTTTTCCTCTCTATAAATGATTCTGTTGCAAAAATTTGAATTTTTATAAGTTTATTTGATTTTTTTTTTAATTTTGAAAATCCCCTACGTGCGGTGTTTTACATCTAATCTTGAAATTTTGAGGTTATGTTCGTTTTTTATATAGCTGAAAAGAAAAGTAGCAATTTTGGGTACCTAAAATCAGTTATAATTTAGCACTTTCTTTTTGCAGTGTCAGTTTTGACCTAATTTTGAGGTTATGTTTACTGATTTTAAACTCAAAACACAGCTGCCTCTTAATCTGATAACTAATTTTTCCTTTGAATTTTGACGTTATGTTCGTCCTCTTGATCTAGAAATTTATGTAATTTTAAGGTTATGTTTGTTATTTCATACCCAACATTCTCTTATGGTTTTGTTAGTAGGGAGCGTTCACAAATTACGTAACGTTTTTTTTTTAATTTTGACCCTCCCCCTCCCCATGTAACACGCTATTGCATACATTAGCGCCATTTTTTCTGCTGTCTGTAACAAAGTGCTTGACCCCTTCCCCCCTCCCCCAAAAAATGTTACGTAATTTTTGAACGCTCCCGTATTTTGACCCTAAACTTTGACTAAATTTTAAGGTTAAGTTTTAACCTTTAACCTAAAGGTCGCTTTACTTATGACTTGTCGATATTCATCAGGGGCCAAAATACTAACAACCTTCAAAACATAACCTCAAAATTTAATGATATGTAAGAGGCAAACATAACCTCAAAATTATAAGTGATAAGTAAGGATCAAGAGGCAAACATAACCTCAAAATTATGAGATAAGTAAAGGTCAATAGGCAAACATAACCTCAAAATTAGGTGATAAGTAAGGATCAAGAGGCAAACATAACCTTAAAATTAGGTCAATTTCTAGGTCAAGAGGCCGTTTGGTTTGAAGTTAAAACATAGCCAAAATACTAACAAATGTAAAAACAAATTTTTAAAACAGTGGGGGTGGCGGAAAAATCTTTTTTGTAATATATAAATATATACGGGAACACGTGTTATACACATACACTTGATTGGATTACATATATATAGTCCCCTTGGAGTGGCGCGAGATGGATATAATTGAAGGCAGAGGTAATTAACTCCCCTGTGGAAATGGGACCTCGCATCGTTTTAATTACCGTTCTCGTCGCATTTCATCGGGCAAATATTCGCTCCTCTCTGTCTCCTTCCATATATATACCTTTAAACTTTATACACAACTCATCATTATGTATATTTATTATAAATCTGATATAGAAATTTCTTATCAAGACTGCGCACTCTAAATATAGATGCCATATATATACCCATCGTTGTGACATTATTATTTTTTCCCCTGATACACCTGGTTATTTAGTTTTCCATTATATATACATATATATATATATTTATCGTATTTTTTTATCAATTTCCACATGGTAAGAAAAATCAGCAAACTGATTCGTTTCTATATGATTTTTTGAATTGGAAACAATATATGTGACGCTCCAAGAGAAAAGGGATCTTAGAGGGAAAAATTTTTAGGTTATGTTTAGTTTTATTTTTATACATTGATTAAACGTTTATTTTTAATTATTTAAAATGAAAATCAATTTTTTATTGAATATTTTGGATGTATAATGAAGTTTTAAACATCAGTTGTTTGTACACGGAAAAAAAAATCTTTATCTGGAACAGCGATAAGTTTTATTGGAACAGCAAAATGTATCACTAAAACAGCGAAAATTTTTGCTATTCTAGAGAAACATATCGCTATTGCAGATGAAGATTTTCTTCCGCGTATATTTAAAGTTGATCCTCGTTGTACATTTTCCATTCGAAAATTACAAACATAACCTAAAAATTTTTTTGCCTCTAAAGTCCTTTTTCTCGTGGAGTGCCATACATATATGTTAATCAGGCATCGTTTGGTGCAAAGTCCATTTAGATTTTTTCTGTGCTGTTTCGATAAGCAATCCCCTGAAAAACTAGTCAGGGCCTTGTTTAGTTCTTCTATATAAATTCTATAAATTATCCTAAAAATGAATAAAAACACTATAGTAATAATGAAATATACTTTACTCATGAAATACCTTTTTTTTTTTTACTAAAAACGTAATTTTAAGAACTTAGTGTTATTTATACATTTTTTCAAAATAGGAAAACTAGACGGAAATTCTATTTCAAATATATAGGATAAATTAAGATAAATTTCTGTATTTGTTATACATGAATATCTGATTTATTTGTTTTCAGGTATCTTCGATAAACAGGGTGTTGAGAAATTTAGCCGCTCAAAAAGAACAGAGGCAACAACATCAACAACAACAACAAGGTGTAGGAGGCGTAGGTGTTGGTGTAGGTGCCGGAAGTCCAGCTGAAAGTGTTTACGATAAATTAAGGCTGCTTAACGGTCAATCCACCGGCTGGCCGAGACCTAATCCATGGTTAGAATCAAATCAATTTCTTATATATATATATATACATTTTTAATTCGGATAGAAACTAATAGAATTGATTCGTATATATAGAAACTATAGGCTAGTAAATTATATTTTCTTATAACAAAAAAACAAGATAGTTGGTCTTTTCACTTGATAATTTATACTTAACTGATATCACAAAATCTATCACTGTTGTAAGTTTCATAAAAATTGATAAGGTCAAGTTGATGCGCTCTGATATGCATATAGTTTTCTGAGGCTTTCAAATTGTGAGCCTAAATAGCATCAAAACTTTGATTATATACTTATAAATATTCTACTATTAAACCACAATTTTCGAATTTGTTATCCTTTAGGTATCCGTCCGGAGCAGGGAGTCCATTTCCAACGCTGCAACCAAGTCTAAGTCCGAGCCATTGTACTGCATTGCCTCCAGATACAGCAGATATTCTCCATGCGAAGAAAGGTAAGTGCCATTTTTTTTTCTAATACAAACAAACTAAAAAAAAAAATTTATAAAATACCACCATTTTGAGATATTATTCTATTCTCTCATGTATTTTCCCCAATTATTCATTATATCTAGTATGAAAAACTTGCTTTCAGCCACTAAATCCAATATACGACACTAATATCACTCATTGAATTTTTTCTTTTTAATTTAATTTTTTAGTCAATTTTCAAAATTACCGATGTAAAGAAAGTATTGTAAATCAGCCTTAAAGTTTATAGTAGGGCTATTTGAAAGGTAGCCATTGTACCCACTCTCCAAATTTCCTAGACGCACAGAAAAAACTTGGACTCATTTTTGTTGCAACTCATTTTCTTTTGGGTATCGAAATGAGTATGGGACAAACTTCATGTTATTCAAAATGATATTGGCTGGAATTTCAGATTTCTAAGTTGGCATCATAAGCAGAGTAATTTTGTATTTCAATTATTGTTTCTAATATTTCAACAACACCAGAAAGATTATTTTGACCAGTACGAATATTTAGAAGTTTTTAAATAAAAATTATTTATTATTATTTACGTAGATAATAATTAATTTCATAAGTTTTTAAATTTACCGCTATTATTTAAGTTGGCAGTACCGTTCCTGTTGTCAAAACACATGTTTTCATTTTTCTAACCTAAAAACATATTTCCTTTATTATTTTATTACGCGATTACAAGCAATTTTTAATCAAATATATTAAGTCTAGCGTGTTATTTACTTCTTTGTAATTATTATATTTCATGTTTTTGTGCAAAATTATTCGTTATTTCACAATATTTTTCCATTTTTCTTTTTCTCAAAATGAAACTTGCCTGTTTCATTTTGATACTTTTACCTTAGAACTCGAAATGAGACAACCAGTTTCATTTTTGTTGCGAATCAAATTGAGTATAGAATCTATACTCAATTTGAATTCAGGTTTTTTCTGTGCGCCATTTTTTTAAATTCTCGTCAACTATCGCACTCTGCTCTAGTGAAAATTTAATAACTTTTACTTTTAACAATAAAAGTCACTACATTTTCACTATAGAGCAGGGGGCGGTAGTTGAAGAGAGTTAAAAGTTACTAAATTTTCACTAGAGCAGGGTGAGGAGAATTAAAAATTACTATAAAGTTACTAAATGTTTACTATCGAGCAGGGTGCGGTAGTTGACGATGAGAATTATGAGAAAATGGCGAGTGAGGACAATGAAAACGAACCGTTTAGTCACATAAAAACCGACAGAAAAGAAACGGGCAAATTGTAAACAACCAATCAGATTTGTCCATTTCGTTTCTGTTGTTACTTTTTAAGATTTCTTGGCCCAGGGCCGAAAGCCTTATGTAGTTTCGCTTTAGCGTCCATCCGTCCGTCCATCGTATATGGTAACCGTTTCCATGGTATGGTTACTATGGCAACAGTTACTATGGCAATAGTTACTATGGCAATAGTTACTTACTATGGCAAAAGTTACTATGGCAACAGTTACTTACTTTGGCAAAAGTTACTATGGCAAAAGTTACCATGACAAAAGTTAGTTACTAGGGCAAAAGTTACTAGCGCAAAAGGTAGTTACTAGGGCAACAGTTACTATGGTAAAAGCTACTTAATATGGCAACAGTTACTTACTATGGCAAAAGTTAGTATGGCAACAGTTACTTATTATGGCAAAAGTTACTATGGCAACAGTTACTTACTATGTCAATTGTTACTATGGCAAAAGTTACTTACTATGGCAACAGTTACCATGGCAAAAGTTACTATGGCAATAGTTACTTACTATGGCAAAAGTTACTATGGCAACAGTTACTTACTTTGGCAAAAGTTACTATAGCAACAGTTACCATGACAAAAGTTAGTTACTAGGGCGAAAGTTACTTTGGCAAAAGTTACTAGCGCAAAAGGTAGTTACTAGGGCAATAGTTACTATGGCAAAAGTTACTTACTATGGCAACAGTTACCATGGCAAAACTTACTATGGCAATAGTTACTATGGCAATAGTTACTTACTATGGCAATAGTTAATATGGCAATAGTTACTATGGCAACAGTTGATTTCCGTATCAACTGTTTCCATAGCAACCATAGCAATTCACAAATAATATAATTATAAATTATTTATTATATTCAAATAACTTTTGATCTGAATTTAAAAAGCCACGAAACCCAATAGATGTAGGCGCTTTGCGCCTGCTTTTTCCTGATTTTTTTTTTCTTCCGACAATCAACCATTTTACTAAACAAAATAGTCGAATTTAATCGACAGTTTAGTCCAGTACAAAATGGACAATTCTGTTCAGGTTTTGTTTTTAATAAAAAAATTCATAAAGTGTGTCATTTATTTTACAAGAGCCGCAGTACAATGTTTCCGTGCGTTCAAATGGCGGAACTTGTAAAACCACAAGTTTAACCTTGTGGGCACATAAGCCGATCTCTCTCTCTCTTGGATATAATATATATATAGGTTTGCATATGTGGTGGCGCTTGATGGACGAACAGAGAGAGAGAGAGAGGAGCGTTTTAATTAATTAATCCGCGTGGGCGAAACGATACTAATATCAATGTAATTCCGCGCGCGGTTGGCCACACGCGTGTACATAATATATATATATATATATAGATGCACACACGAGTCCAACGCTTTTCGAATAATAATCGTAACGGGAAACGGGCCACCACGTTATACGAGATTACCGCCCCGAAAACCACCAAACCGAATACGAAACATCCCCCTTCTCCCATATATATATATATATTTCCTCTTTCTACAGTTGCTTTTTCCTCGCATGTTTAATACATATAGAAATTTTCTACACACACATAATCTCAGTTCTCTTTGGCGGCACATCAAACGCAAATCTCTTTGCTCCACGCCTTTTTCCCGCCGGGATGTGTCACGAACAGTTACCCTCGGGTAACTTTAACATATAACGAAAGGAACGCATGTCTCGCCTATATGTACAATATACGAAAAATCGGAATTTTTTTTTTTCAACCAAATGCTTATTTTTTTATTTTCAAACTCTTTTTTGATTATCTTCTACATCGGTGACTAAAGCACACTAGTTTTCATTTAATGAGAAATATTATAAGAATGCCGAATTATATATTAGGCCTATTACTGAAAATAGAGCGCCAGTAGTCAATAATATATATATATATGAAAGAATTAATTCTCTGCTCTTGAGGATAATCTGATTCGTAGCCTGGGGAAATATTCGTATTTCGAAGAGAGTTATATATAGAGGGGTGGGGGGAGAGGGCAGCACAATCAAATATGGTAACTGTTGCGACCGCTCAACCGCATGCGGGCCCCGGGGTCTAGATTATCCGCGCACGCGGGGGTGGTGCTTATATATATATAGGATATACGTTTGGAGCTTCGTAAGTTTCCTCCCTTGTACCACTCCATGTTTCACCCTCTTCTCTATCTTTGTCTCTCTCTCTCTCTCACACACACATCTTCTCGACTCGCACATGGAACGTTTGAAGGGAGACCAAAATGTGCCCGGGGCCACCGCTCCTGAACACCCCAAAGCAAAGCAAAAGCAGATTACGCCGCAATCATCGCGCGACTCGAGATTCTCGACTCAACCCCAGCATCTCTTCTTCATTCTCTCCCGCGTTCAAACTCTACTCTGACTCCGATAGGTTTTCCTCTTTGCACGCATATATATATATAGGTATTCCGCTCGTTTCTCAGGCATCATGGATATCTCAGAAGGAGGGTTGCGCAAATTTTCGCATTTGGTGGAGAGAGCGAAATTCCGACCTTTTTCAGAGTTTGTTAAAGGATTTTGAAAATCCTTTATGTGTTTTCCTAAGTACATATATATATTTGTCATCAAGTGTATTTGATTGGACTTACTTTTGTTATAGTTCAAAATGAGCCAAAACGACATTGGCGCATGATGAGTGCGAATTGGTAGTAAACAAAATCGAGTCAATCATATACGCATATAACTGATTAGAAATATAATTATAGTGCGAATATAATTTTGTCACACTGAAAGAAGTATTTTGGTTAATTCAATCATACCCAGGAAAAAATAATTCTTGTTTAGCAACACGTTTCATGTTTGCGTCAAAATAACGTGTTAACGATCTGTATGTTCTAAAAACGTTCCTAAAACATTTTAGAACGTTTTAAGTTATCTGTGAGAAATTGCCTATCGTAACCATTGGGCCATTATGTAGGACCAATGATGCCACTTTTTTCCCAATGGTAAATTTCCCATTTTTTTTTGTTACAGCCATAATGCTGTTGGATTTTTTAAACCATACGGATGTTAACTTTACGGATGTACCAAAACAGAATAAGGCACATAACCCTTAATTGACAGTATAGTTCAAACATAATTTGCTACTGTCAGTTATAAGGTTATATATATGTATTAACCTTCTGTTTATAGGTATATCCGCAAATTAACATCCTTATGGTTTAAACAACCCAACAGAATTATGGATGTAACAAAAAGCCGTAATATCCGCTATAGGCAAAAAAACATCCTTATTCTAGAAATGTTCCTAAAACATTTTAGAACGTTTCATGTCTACCTAAATAGTATTAAGAACGTTCCATATATGTTCCAAAAACTTTTTTAGATATATACTAAACTAAACTAAACTAAACTAAACCAATAATTGGCGCTACTTTATTAATAGAATTAATTACACAGCCCCACAAAAAAAAAAAGTGTCATGTACTTTTGACCGGAATACCCTAACCCTATGTATTTTGACGCGCTGAACACGAATCCGAAGTCCGTTTTGCTCCATCACGTCAGGATTTTTTTCTAACCTCAAAAAACATGTCGGATTTTGAGAAGTAGGCGATTTTTTTAAAAATTGCTGTATTAACTTCAAACTTGGTATCTGGGGGTTTTTTGTGTCGCTGATTACGAATCTGAAGTTAGATTTTCAAAATCCAAAATGGCGGATCCAATATGGCGGACGAATTTTGAAAAAATTTTAAGATTTACTTCAA